AGACAATTTGCATTTCTAGTATTCTTTCACTAGTCCTCTCAAGCAAATATCATCACCAGTAGGTAACGAGCAAGACTCAGTGATGTTTTTAAATCTCAAAAATAACCACAAACACCCATGTAAGAATCCTAACTTCCAACGTGTCAGCCAACCCAGGCAAATAAACAACTCTTGCACTCACAGGTTGAGCACTGGAATAACACAACTGCCAAAGACAGCGCATATGATGCCCCATTGACAACACAGAAGTGTAACAAATCCTGGAAATTATTATTCTGTTCAGTGAAAACTGGCTGCCTACCAAATTATGGAAGGCTCGCAAGTAATTTTAACACAAAACACAAGAACAATATCTTGATGGTCTCCAAGGGCCCCTAAGTCAGGACTCTCCAGAGTGGAAAGCTACTACAGACAGAACCAAAAACAGGGAAGAGAGCACTTTTGGGTAAAGGAGGACAGAATAGGAAAGACTCAAGAGACAAGTTTAGAAAGAATCAAAGCCTTTGCTACTGATGACGAGGAATGGAAAGATAAGCTGAGCCAGCCACTGTGTTAAGCACACCAGGTACATGCAACACCAGAGACACATCAAAATAATGTCCAGTTCCTCTGCAAGCATGATGGGCTCTGCTCTGAGAGGCATCTCTCTGCTATACACCTTTCTGATACTGCAGCCTTAAGCAGGGACTTGGTTCTTCCAAGTCCACTCTGCGGAAGACAGTACAGTTGCATGTCCAGGAGACATCACATTAATGGTTTGGGGGTTTTTTGTGGTTTTGGTTTTTTTTTTGAGAAGCTATAGGAAATCTTTTAGCAGACTTCAGTTGCTCTACCTGAATTTGTAACAATATGCTTTGAAGAATCAGACATTTATTACTCCACGTTGTACAAAAAGCCATTTAGGACACCAAGGGGCTTCTCAACTTACCTGTTCCAGGCCATCCCTTTCTCCTCCCTACACCTGCCTCTCTGTAAGATATGCAGTGGAGTGACTTGGTCATCTCTACCCCTTATAATTCCTTAACGGGCTTTACTTGTCATGCCCTTCTCACAGGTGTTCGTCAAATCTAGCCCTAGTTTATTTCCAGCGCTGCTGCTTCTGCCAGCAACTATTGGGCCATCCTGACTCCTGGGCCAAGGGAAAATGTGGATTCCATCAGAAGAAGGTTAATGACAGATTTATGCATCTTTTTTCAACAGCATATAACCACAGAAAAAGTGAAGCAAAACCCATCACTAGATAGTCCTGAAATGACTCGGTGACCCCGGCAGGAGCCAGGCTGGATCAACAAGCTGATCTGGGACTGTCAGCCATGTGGTGTTGGCTGTAGTACATCAGCACCAAGTATTTACTCTCCTATTTGTAGCTTGAAGGCTGTATTTCAGGACCTTGTCAAATTAACAAGAGTGCCAGGTCATGCTCACCACGGTACGGTTCAGAGGAGTGCAGTACTCTTATGTTGAGGGCTAATTTTACAAGCTCCATTAGTGGAATTGGGAGGCACTCAATACTGTAAGTGCAACTGGTCTACCTAGACTGGCAATTGCACCCAGCTCTGAAGAGGCACATAGCTAATGAAAAAGTGAGCTCTTGTTAAGTATTAATGGAAAAAGCAAGGCAGGATGAGATATAGACTCATTCAACACACGGCTTGGCCATTCCTCTCATTCTAGGCTTACTTGACAGTGCCTAGGCAGCTGTAAAACTCACTTATGACTCTTAATATTAAGCATACATCGCAAAGCGTTTAGCAGAAGTGAAGCAGTGAAACTTCAAATTCTCCAGGTTTTGATTCCTGTGCACTAGAATGTCTGCCCTCCAAGTGAGCAAGACAAAATCTGACATCAGTTAACATCAGAAAGATGAGCAGATGGTCCAAGCTAAGTGACTTAGTAACCACTCCAATCCACCCCTCATACTCCCACTCACTATAATGAGCCCTTCAATAAAGCAGGGAGACGACTGGGACTCATAACATGTATGAATTGTGAGGTGGCTAATTCCCTCATTTCCTCAATTACCAGCTAGAGCGGCATTGCAGCCTGCCAAAACAAAATCTACCTACAATCAGCAATGCAACCTTTAGATTCACCTCTTTCTGACGTTGGTGCTACAAAGCTACTGACAGAAGATATCACTGCTGTTTGTCTATGTGGAAGAGGTTCATACACTCACAGAAATCGGCATCTAGGGCTATTTAATAAAGGCAGTATCTTTAGTTCCAAAACTTCCTGAATTGCAGCCTGATGAGATCAGTAAGCTTCCATGGCGAACAAAATAGATCTGCTCTTTTCTCATACTTTCTCTGAGCAGCCACAGCCATTGTCAGACACGCACTACCACAGAGGATTCACTGTCATTGGTTTTGCACCCTGAGAGTCAACTGAAGTTCGCCAAGAAAGTGTTCTGCTCCTCAGAAACTCATGTTGCCAGATAAATGCTGAAACTCAAAAGCCCTCAGCCCTGGAAGAATACAATGCAATGGTTAAACTACCTGATCATTTTTCTGCACAACTGAATTTGCTTAGAAGTTGATGTTCTGCCTGTTCTCCCTACTCCAAAATTGGCTGCGAAATGCTGCTGGCTGCACAGTGACCTGAAGTTTACATCTGTGCCTATTACAGATAACCTTTACAGACACAGAGAAAGCAGATAGGAACGTGGTTCACTTGTGGTGGAATTCAATCCCACCAGCAGCAAAGAGTTTGCTAACTTAGCAAACAGCTGAGGTAGGAAAAGGCAACTTCTTGTCTTTGCTGAATGGCAAGAGTTGCTAGCAGTCAGTTAAAATGCAACCCAAGAATCATACCCAACACAAGCGTCACATTAAATCCTCTACTGCTGAAGCCATTTCACTCACGTACTCCTCTCCCTCCCACCCACCTGAACCCCATGTCGTTTTCTTCTCTCAGCAGCAGAGCAGAGCCTCCACCTGTGCCCCTCACCAAGGACAGGGTGCAGAAGCTCTGCTGCTCTCCAGCAGCATCTCTTCCTCTCCTGGTCCCTGAAAAAGCCTCACAGTGGGGAGCGCAGGAAGAACTGGAGCAGTTCCCCGATGCATTCCCCTCGACGCCTCCCCCTCCACACCAGCAGGAGAGCTGCCTGGTAACCCACATCCGCTGCTCTCCACGGAATGAGCACGCATCCCCCGGGAGCTCTCCGAGGCCAGCAGAGCTCCTGGCAGCACAGTACCTGCGGGTCTACACTGCTGGACAGCCAAAAAGCAGTTTGTCACGAGGCAACTCCCCCCCACACACACAGTTTTGGTTCAGGGAACAAATCTGCATGCACATCATGCTAAGTTCTTCTGTATCTTGGTCCCAAATTCCCTCCCACCTACCACTCCCCTACGCTTTTCGCACAAAGAAGTCTCCATGCTGGACCTCCTCAACACCTTTCTCCTTATATTAATTTCTCCAAAAGGATCAGAGGAGGCACCTTTTGATAGCCAAGCAGCCTTAAAAAATGATGTTGTTTTCCAAGGAGTTTTACATGCCTTTGATAATCCCAGAAGGGATTTATGTCATTTCTTCCAGTTTCTGGTAATTCTGCAGTCACAGGCTTACACAGAAAAGTGGCTCTAGAGACAGACAACCTGTCAGATAAACTGGAAAATGAGCATTCAGATCCATTAAATAAAGGTTATTCATGGGAAGTCTGGACTCAGATTCAGCGGGATGGGAACCCATAAACTCTGAAAGGGAAAGAAGACGACACCTAACAAGCCTGGGTTAGACCAGTACCAGAAAGGTAAGTGACCTGGTAACAGAATAAAAACCCTCAGACCAACAACAGTAATGTAGAACCCTGGGCTACCAATCACTTGCTGTGCTACCCGCTTCCGAAAAGAGGATCTATGGGCTCAGAAGAGGAGTAAGTCAGTCTAGGTAATCTCCTCTGCTCCCTGAAAAGGGGTTTGGGTTTCAGGTTGCTGGGGCTTGGTTTTCTTTGGAGGGGAAAAAGGAACTAGAAAAGAAACGGGGGCAGTTTTTCTCCAGGTCCTATGTCCACAGTAAATATAGCCACCAAATATACACTCTGTTAAAAACAGACAATACAAGGTCAACAGAGTATGAAGAGAATATCATCAAGTTAAATCTGACAATGTTTTTAGGAAAGAAAAATCTTTTAAGGTGCAGTTGGAGGTGATTTTAATAAGGAATCTAGAAATTTTCTCAAGGCTGCCACGTGATTCAGAAAACAAGAGCTCAGAATTGCTACACGCAGTTGCTGTGACTGCTTTGTAACAGGTTATTAACTCTGATCTTTAGTATAACATAATAGTGGAGATAGACATAAATAAGATCAGAACATATGACTCAAAGACCTCTGAAAAGGAAGGTTCCGACTGACAAACTGCTGCCCTCTGAAGCCATCCAGGCCACCAGCAAAGCTGTGGTACAATGGCTCGTAGAAAGTGGGCCAATGTGAAAATATCAGTATTACAACACAAGGCTTTTCAAGCTGAATGCTTATAGCTCTGGCAGGCAGGGAGCTAGAAATAGAACGCTTTGCATTTAGGCTCACACATGCAGCGATCTGCCTGTGAAAAACACCAAGAGCAAGTGCCAGAGAGCATTTGAGCAGAGACCTAGGAAAACTGTCAAAAATGGGGGGGAAAAAAACCCAACAAAAACACAAGCCCACACACTTGTCAACTAGAGAAAGGAGACCAGTGGAGACTGGTCCCTGCTGCAGCTTAGGAGCCAGGACACAAATCGATCCTGGAGCAGGTAGTGCCTTGCTCCCCATTACAGCAACATCAGATTAGTCAGGAGCAGGCTTATTTCAAATGCGACACCTCTTGGTGCTGAGCAAAGTCAGGCGGGTCATTTCCTAGGCCAGCATAAAGGGTACCTTATACTTCACTGCATTAAATTTGAATGATTGAATTCAAGTAAGTGAAACACCCAGCCTGCTCAACCTGTAGGTAACAGATTTGACATTGCTGGTAGAGGCTTAAGGTCTGTCAATAGGAACAGAAAATTTCTCCTCTTTCAAAAGCTACTTATTTATTTATTAAGTAAACGATGCTTCTTAAAAGAGAAGCTTTTTCGCAGACTGTTTCAGAAATCATGTTTATTCATACTTCGAGAGATTAGAGCAACAAGGAGAGTAAGAATGTGCTGCAGCTCTCTTAAAACTAAGTTTCTTGCCTGGCAGCATAGAAGTGAAACAGATACTTATTTTGCAATGGTGAGCAAAGAACATTAGGCTGACCACCAAATCCTCCAGCTCTACAGCCTAAGCACCAGAAAAAGTACAGAACCACCCATTTCATCTTCTACAACAGCATAGGGACATCTATATTGCCATGCTTGGCTTTTAATCTCCTCCTCCTAAGCCTCCAGCCCGTGTTTAGCTTAAGAATATTTTGATCCTGTCCAAAAAGGGAGGTTCAAACCCCACCTACCCAGCTAATTACCAAACTTGTTAAAGAAAGCAGGCCTCTCTCCTTAAACTGATTAAATTGTTCAACTGACAGCACTACCACACGAGCTGCCTGGAGCACTCACCGGCGGTAGCAGGGACCTAGGTGGACAAAAAGATACCCGCATGAGTTTTGAAGCAAACCCACTGTGGCAGAAGGTCAATGTGGTGGGAAGGGAATGATTAAAAACTGTAGGCCTATTTATTTTTGACTCTCTACCAGAGAGCAACATGCAATTTGATTCTCACCCTTAATTTGTAAATTCTCACGGGAATTTGGCAAGGTTGCTCTGAAGAAGAAAGTTTGAAGAACTCTTGCAAAAGACACCATGCTATGCCAGATCAAGCTATCAGTTATTTACATTCATTTCAAAGGACACAAAGGAAGCCATTTATTTCCACCATATCTGCACTTTTTAAAGAGAAAACAGTTAGGACAGAGCTGGTCCCGACAGCAGGGCTTGTCAATACAAACCAACCAGCATAGCTTCCCTGGAGTAAACATTTAAGTATGATCAAACTAGCATGAATTCATTCGCAGATACAGAGACTACTCCAGGACACAGAGATCTCCAGAGGGAACACACACATTACAAAGCCATCCTAAACTTGTGCTACTGAGATGTTTCCCTGTGCAGGCAAGGGAAGTCCTCTGGGTACCAGGGAAAGCAATCTCTGGTCTGCACCTCCCAAGCCACCCAGAATTGTTAAGCAGCCTATTTTAAGCACAAGTTTCAGGAACTTTAAGGGGGCATATTTGGCTTAGCCACACTTGCAGGATTAAAATGCGCACCTAATTCTCCCAGCTATTAAATAAAAGGACTCCTATGTTAATACACAGGAGTACATTTCATCTCTTTCAGACAGGGGAAATAAAGTGACCAACACAGAATTTGTTTCTTCAGACACATTGCTACAAACAAAACTAGAAAAAACACCAGTGTTCCTACATGAAAAGCCCCATCATGCTACCTGGAGTCTGAATCATGGAGGCGGGGGGGCACCCTACATCTGCACATGCCAACCAACAGTTAAGTGACATAACTGAGCTTCCCAGACCCGAGCTGCAGATCCCACAGTGCAGAAACCACAGCTAAGGGAGGCTCTCCCTCACCTCTGCTCCAAAAGCCCAAGCAAGATTTGCCCATCACTACACGGAGGCAGAAAGAGATTAAGAAAATCACTCCTGCACTCGTCAGTAAAAAGCAGGAGCCTGTTCACCTTCTATCCATGAAGATGAAATAAAGATGAGGAAACCGACGGGGTAACCCTCCAAATCCCCAAAATTGAGTTAAGCAGAAAGAAAAAGATCAAATGCCATGCTGTCGAAGCTCAGCATGTGGACAAAACAGCACCTTAAATTCCTACTTTAATTTCAGTTTATTACCCAGAAAGACCATTCACCAATTTACAAAGTTATTTTCAATGTTCTTGTAATGCTCCCTGTTAGCTGAACTGTGGGGTAAGTGCAGTTGTACAGATCTCCTCTTCCAGCCAGATCACCTCCCTGGGACTTTGACTGGATCTCCCTGGGTCCGATCAGCTCCATGGCATTCCCACTGCCTTCAGTTTTCCAGCAAGGGAGTCTACGCACCCAATCTGTTTGAAATGTCACTTTACTACTTCTTTGAAAGCACTTCCCTGCACAGGCCATACAGCGCTATTATATGATCTGCAGAGAGGAACAGATTTTTAAAAGTTTTGCGAGCAAAAGATTACAACAGGAATTAAGATGCATTTGTCGGGACAACACCTCCGACAATTAAGACGGGGCCGGAAAGCCTCAGTCCCTTTCTGATGCAACTCATACGCAAGCTACACCAGAGAGGTGGAAGGGCGACGTCTCTGCCGATCCTGTGGTCCTGGGGGCAGAGGGAAGCCCAGGGGAAAGGACCGGTAACTCTGAAGTGCAGCACCAACAGGTGCTTTCAAATATACGTTAAGACCCTGAAACTACTTATGAGTTACAAGATCAAAACAACAACAATGAAAATAACTGGAAGGCGAGCACAGAGCCGAGGTCGGGCGGCTGAGCCTATGAATGGAGCTCCAATGCCTTGTTTATCTCAGCACGTGCGCGCACACTAAGCCTGAAAGATACGGGTGGCCTCCCCGAGCAGCCCACCCACTCCACGCTGTCAGGCCAGCTGAAAAAGCACCCAGAAGACACGGCCAAGGAACGGGTGCGGATTCCCGTCAGCGGCTCTCACTATAACAGACAGATGAGTGGAAAAAGCAAGAAAGAAAACAACCTTGCTTGGCACCGTGCCCACACATACATCCCAGTGCAGTGGGGAAAAGCGGCCGGGGGCACATACCAGCCGCGTATCAGCTTTCTGGCCCAGCGAACAGGCAGAGCCGGCAGATACTTAAACACAGGCCGCTCTCTGCCCTGAATGCGCCTTCCCCAACCCCTCCGCAAGCAGGAACCCAAGGGAACCTCTCCGCAGAGCTCACTCGCCTCCCTGGCCAGCTTGCTGATGCTCACCACCACCGAGCAGCACCCCCACGCCCCCACCACAGGCACAAGACCACCTTTTTTGAACTCCTCCAGCATGGCATCGAGCTTGGTGTCATTGAAGACAAAGTGCAGTGGGTGGTTGTAGAAGCGGGTGATGGTCTTGAGCGGGGTGCAGTCATCAGGGTCCACAAAAGCCAGGTCCTTAACGAAGAGCAGGTCCACAATGTTGGAGCGGTCACCCTCGAAAACGGGGATGCGAGTATAACCACGCTCCATGATCTCAGACATAGTGTTGAAGTCAAGCACAGCCTCGGCAGCAATCATAAAGCAGTCTTTGAGGGGAGTCATCACGTCCTCCACCGTCTTGGTGCGCAGCTCCAGGGCTCCTTGGATAATGTTGAGCTCCTCCTTGACTAAGTCATTATAAGGGTCGGTGACCCGCAGCATCTCCAACAACTTCTCACGGTTATAGACCGTGCCGATCTCCTGACCCAGGACACAGTCCAGCAACTTGCTGACGGGGTAGGAGGCCGGGAAGGTCATCATCATGAAAAACTTGGTGAGGAAGATGGTGTTGGCGCCCACGGCCAGGCCGTGCCGAGAGCAAATGGCCTGCGGCACGATCTCGCCGAAGATGACGATACCGATGGTGGAGACCACCACGGCCACCAGCCCAGAGCCGGCAATGTCGTCCAGCAGGATGGTAAGCGTGGTGTTGACCAGGACATTGCCCAGCAGGAGGGAGCAGAGTAGGTAGTTGCCCTGGCGCCGCACAGGCTCAATGCGCTTCGCGTAGTTCTTCTCTTTGTCCGTGCCACAGTTCTGCACGATGCGCAGCTCCATGGGGTCCAGGGCCATGAGGCCCAGGTTGAGGCCACTGAACATGCCTGAGAGGCAGAGAAGGAGCGAGATGAAGATGACCTGCAGCCAGAAGGGCAGCAGGAACTTCTTCTCCTCCCCCACGATCATTTTGGTGTCCTCGCCATCGTGGTAGATCCAGGTAGTCTCACCCCAGGGCGGGGGTCC